TCCCAGAACTAAATATCACATATAAATATTTAGAAGTAATTAATAAATAAAATACATTATTATTATTATTATTCAAAAAGTGTGTATTCTTCTAGTCCTAATCTTCATTTAATTCGCAATTATTAATTTAATTTAACCAATGTGATGTCCGCTGAATAGGACAGTTTTTTTTGTCTTAAAATTAAGATTTTCTAATAGCGTTGGTTTTCTGTTACCATTTACAGAGAGGTTCTGCAGAATCGCAGCGAAACCAGTGTCGTAAACGATTAAGGCAATTAGTTGAGAATATCAGCGCATGCGGCTTACTCACCAGACTTGACTCCATCCGACTACTATAATTTGCATGGTGTGGCTGCACTTTCTCAGCAGACCTTCGCTTTTTATCGAAATTGCTGAATGCAAGGGTGCCTATCCCCTTCAAGGTTGATGACGCATGGACTCCCCTCTCTATTCCTTAAACAATCGTAGATCATATACAAATACACTTGTAGTAGTCTGATTCATGTTTTCCCCATGTTACCTGGATTTTTATTTATTTATTAACCAAACAAAAATGTGGAACATTAGATTAAATTTGCAATCTGCAAATTTCTTTGCAATAAGCAAGTTTTTTAGCAGCTTCACAGCTTCCCACCACGTCCGGGATATAAATCAGATCAGCAGGTCTCTTGGCCAACGCCTACGTAATCGTCGTGGTGGGCTGTACGGGTTTCTTGTACGATGAAGGATTTCTGTCAGAGGATTCATGTTGTACCTCAGTCTACCTGGATTTAAACTTTTTATTCTGAAAATTCATAACGCCGTCAAAATGGGCCCTTCTCAAAACTTTTGATAGCTCAACTTGGACTATATAATCCACTTTCAGCGCATCCATGGCTTGATGACTGGATCGCCACGAAAGAGCAACAGTTTTTCTGGCATGGAATTCATAAGTTGTCAGAGAGATGGGGAAAATGTATAGCTGGCGAAGGACAACGTTTCAAATAAAAAATTTGTAAGCAATAAAAGTGTCTGGTTTCATGTTTACGCACCTGGTGCAGATATACAGGGTGATTTTGACAAATTTATATTTAGTTCAAGTAAAATAGAAATTGTTTTTGTATAATTCTTTTTTTCTTTGCAAAATTCTTTATTGAGAAGTTTTACAATATTTCACATCTAAGAGCAATATTAATAGTGATAAAAGAGTAACTTACTCACACTATGTACAATAAATAAAAATAAATAAACAGCAATATAATAATACTAAAAGTAAATGTATAAAAACTAAACTAAACAAATCAAAATAACTACTAAAATACACACATGATTTTATACAATGCTTGCAAAATTCATTCACTCAAGAATTCCAAAAGCTTAGACTTTCCCCCCACTCGTGGAAGAAAAAGGCGAATTCTAGGAGATCCCACCGCCTCTCATTTATCCGCATTACTAGTATTAAGGACCAGTAGAGGCTGAGTAGAGGCGTGAATCTGACCATTGCCAGAATGGCGAACTTTTGCTTATAACAGGTATCTGGGCCACTTTAACCTTCGAGGAGGATTTTAGGGATGGGTAGACCTCAATAGGGATTTTGCAAATGGATTTGAATGATATGTAAGGTTTTAATAGAATTTTGAAATTTTTTCAGGGATGAGGTCTAGGACAAATGGGATATTAATGTCATGGCGTAGTATTTTGTTGGTTACATAAAACGGAGCATCAACTATTGTTTGAAGGAATTTGGACTGAAAGGATTGAATGCGTTTGATGTTAGAAAATTTTGTTGTCCTCCACAGTTCCAGTCCGTAGGTCCAAATCAGTAATTTGTTGTCAATTGAAAGTTGAGATTTTCTGTTCAGTAGTCTATATAGCTGGCCATGTTATATTTAAAAATTATCGAAAATTGAAGTGAAAGTAAACAAAGCTATAAAATAAAATAAAGTTTCAGATATCTTTATTATCGGTTTCGTGGACAGTGAAACTATGCAGGACAAATTTATCTTCCATTTGTTGATAAAGCAAATTAGAACAATATTTTACTTCTCAGTGCCCTGACTATATTTGACTAGCAACATTTCTAATAGGCGATCGGCGCCTAGGTATGTTATTGATTATAAAATAATAATTTAAGTTTAATAATTTAAATTTACAAACGTCTAGATTTGCTCGGATGGTGTCTTAACAATTGTCATGTAATGTTTGTGGATCGCGTATCAAGTCCATATCTGAATGATGACAGTGATTAGTAATAGTTTTGATTTTGGGGAGAATTCCATGCTCAGAGTTATATGTATTTTTGATCTTCATCAAAGCCTTCTACAAACTGTGGAAGATTTATGGTATGTGGTACAAACCCCTTTTTATCAAATTATTAACATCCGCCTGAAACTTCGTAAATGGCTTCATCTCAACGTAATATACAACTTTTTTATTTACGAAAATTCTCGGCATTATGGCGTTTTCAATCAGAGAACGACAAACTTTATCTATTTATTTTTTTTTATTTATTTATTTAGAAATATAACAATCTGTCAGGTGGACAATAATTATAGTGATATATGAACTCATTCACACCATATATACAGATAATGGTAATAAAAACTCATTGGCTTTCCAATTGAATTGTAATATAATAAGACCAGAAAATCGAGAACAAAAGTGTCCTTCAGAAATTAATGAATGGCCGTGGGAAAAAATTAATGAAATAAAGAGGATGAATAATATACGAAATTATGCATATAATCCTATTACATTAAATTTTTTCTCTATTTCCTATGATGTACAATAATGTTACAATTTATTAACTTCAGTTTAAGGCCTTGTTACTTCGTTTACTCTGTTCATATAGTTTATGGTTCTTAATATTTCTTTGTACTTGCTATTCACATTGTGTGCATATAATTTTAATAAGTTTATTCACATTGTTTTGAATTTTTATCTAAACATTATGTAACTATCACATTCGTCTATATCCTTTAGTATCTTATTTGGTCTGGATCTAAGAAGACCTGTAGGAAGTCGAGTCGAAAGGTTAGCTTTAAATAAAATACTTTTTTGAACTATTTTTTAATTTTTTTTTTCTTCTTATTCAATAATATACCACGGTCAACCATCAAGTAATGTTAAGTCGTCCTCTGGTTCAAGTCCTCTTTCTTTGTTGAATTTTCTACATCTAAACTGCTTTTACCTTGGCTCTTCTGGCGGTTTACAAATTTCACGATTTCTGTCCGTTTCTATTTTAAATGTATTAAGATAACTGTTATGATAACACAACCGAGAACTGCCCAGTTAGCTATGGCATCTTGACTATACTGCCGAGCAGTGCCAACAAAACATGCTCCCTTCTATTAATCTAAAGCAGTGCTTAACTGCCTAGCAGTCGGCGGGGTGGGCGGTATCAGCGAAATCGCACTTTTATCGAAACAGAATCGGTGCTGATTCGAATCCGGCTCAAAGAGTTAACTTTCATTTCCAGGTGGCCGAAATGAATACATCTCCATTCTCTCACCCTGGCTAAAATTGGTTAGTATCCGTAATCATATTTTGAATAAATAAGGACGTGAAATTGCAATAAACCAATATACACAAATATAAACGTACACTCGACTGCTAAACAATCTAAATCATAACAACCTTATAATGCCAATGTAAACCTCAGAACGTAATGCGTTGTTAAACTGATATCTCATACCAATTTTTTGAATCTCGCCTTCAGGGTGATTTCTTAAAGAGTGAATCTACGACGTTAATTTTCTGTCATTGGGTTTCGATTGTAATCAATAGACGTGAGTAAAAATAGGCTGTGACTGAAATGTGTACCTCACCAATTAGCAATGCTTAATACATGGTTGTTTTAAAATAATTTAAATAATTTTTTATTGTTTCTGCAGGAATTTTTTCTTCGTGGATTTATTTAAACAACGTATACTAAGGAATAACAAACTATACTTACAATAATAAAGCACTGTTCGTTTTGTCAAAAGAATAATAGTTTACTAACAATCCTTAGCATAGAACTGGGACGAATGTATATTTTCCATTTATTTGATTCGTATTATATTTATATTTAATTGATTAAGTATTCAACTGATCATTAGAAGTACTAAATGTGATGGTAGAAATAGATAAAAACGATGAAACATTTTTTTTTTTAATTTGAAACTGTCAACCTCAGCAAATTAAAAATAATGAGCCCTAAAAACAGCAATAAACAAGTAAAAAATAGACGAAGAAGAAAATGAGCCAATTAGGTGTTATAACACCTAAAAATAATATATACAATAATAACCTACCTTTAATTTTACTTCATAATTATGATTTGTGTACAATTTTAAGAATACACGAACCAAGACGTTAGCATTCTATAATAATAATAAAGCGATAATCCTAAATTTTAAGGCGAACAATTAGATGTTTGATTAAATATTTCTTACTTATATCTTTTTAATCTTAAAAACAAAATATAAATTGGAATAAAATAAAGAGATAAATATTATTTATTTTTATATTTTAACGAATGATATTCACTCTTGAGACAGATCCAATCCGATATCATAAGATCAAAGGTTTTTAATTTTTTTTTTTAACAATATATATTTTTTTGAAACATTTTCTGGTGCAATGATGCAATACGAATAAAATATATTCGATTATCATCATGCCAATATCAAATGTTAATCGTTCTCTCAAGTATCTTGTTTATTGATGACTAAGAGATATTTATATTAGAACATGAAGTTTTTAATATTTAAATTGACAAGATATTATATTATGCAAAGGAATGAAACTTTAGATATCTCAACGAATCGTTCAAAATATATATATATAATATATATATATAATATATATATATATATATATATTAATATATATATATATATATATATATATATATATATATATATATATATTATAAAGTAGAAATGAACTGAAAATGTATAAATTTTATTATCAAATTTTATATAATAAAATAATGTTTAAAGCTTTAACATTAATATTTATCATATAATATTATTTACCTCTTTGTAGTAGTAGAGGATGTAAGGTATGATTACGCCTTGAGGGAAGTCTAAGTCACAGCTGAAGACAACTGACTCCCCAACATGCGCGCTCAAGTAAATTGGTTTCTTTTCTTCTTCAATAAACTTTGCGATTCCTACGAAAATTCAATAATAATTAATCAAACAAACAAACAATAATTAAAACAAATAAATATAACAACTGTTCAATATTTCGGAACAGCAACAAAGTCTGCAGTTGATGTCTCTTCATAAAAAGAAGTGTAAGTTTGGTTTCTGTAATTATGTTAGTATACAGTTTTCTTAACTGTTTTGTGACTTTATATTTTATTAGATTGAAAATTCACTTCAATAAATATATATTCAAATTTTGAAATTAGTTTTCAATTATAATTATAATACTTTTCTCTCTTATGAAAGACATATATTTTTCATGTTTTTAAAAATATATGATTCATTTGATGTTTTTAATTTATCAAATTAATATTATTCAACTTTTTAGTTGTTATATTACTTAAATAATAATCATGATCATTATTTATCCTTTGTAAAAATAATACATGATTATTAATTCCATTCCTTATTATCCCCTACTCTACCTCTGAGCTACCTGTTCGCTTCCACAGTTCAATTAGAAACCTTAGGGCAATTTTTGATCAATACCTATCCTGGAATAATCACATTTCTCAAATTATTCGAAAATCTATAGCTACCCTCAAACAGTTCCGTGATTCTATACCTCTTAAAATCCGTCTGCTCCTAGTTTCCTTTCTCATTTTCCCTCACTTCGATCATGGATGGCTGCCTTTTATACGGTGGAGATTCTGAAGGGCTCAAGATCAGATTAAACAGACTAGTGAATTGTTTCATAAGATATATCTTTGGAGCCCCCAGGCGCTCTCACGTCTCCAGTTGCTATGCCGAGTTGAAGTGGCTGTATCCAGTTTTCAAAAGGAAATATTTTCTAGTTGTATTCTTATTCTAAAAATGTAATTCGCCTCTTGATTTGATCATTCCTTGTACTTTTGTCCGTTCTTAAGACACGAGATCCCTACCCACAAACCTGCATATTCTTTCTCATAGAACTGCTTCTTTTAAAAAACGCTTTATAATACATGCTACCTTGTTTTGAAATTCCTTACCCACCTCCATACGTGAAACCTCTTCTTAAACGTATTTTAACTACCAATTATTCATCCATCTCCTCAACAACCAATCTTACGAATATATGTAAGAATTAAATTTTCGTTTTTAAGTGTTGTCAGCCTCATTTTACTGTTATTTTACAGTTAACTATAAATTATGTAAGTCGCTTATAAGTATGATTATGTAAGCATACTGATATTAATTTATCTATAATTTTATTAGTTTATTTATGTTTATCCTTTATATTAATTCTGAGATTACATCACTCTGTGATTTAGTTTTTTCTTGTCATTTTACGCCAGTCAAATGACACTTCTCTTGTTCATTGTTATTATTCACAGGGAACTAAATGTCCCAGAATAAAATTTATTTTTCTTCTTCTTCTTCTATATAGTCCCAAAACCAATACGATACTTTTGTACATCTATTGAATGGAATCCGATTTTTTTTTACATCAATGGAGCAATTATGCCCCCAAATAAGTTGAGGTAAAAGCTGTACAAGGTCTGTAAAGTCAACAGGAAAAAAAAGGATTGGTAACGTGTTATAGTAAATTGAAAATTGCGCTTGAATTTGGGTCTGAAAAATACGTCTTAAATAAAAAAATCTATTAGATAACTTGAATTCAATTTAAATCTTATTATTTCGTAGATCATTGAATTTTCAAGTGGGTAAAGGGGATAAGTAAATTTTTAAGAAAATTTGAATTGTTAATTATAAAGGGATAAAGTGATAGATTATTAATATTTCTGAAAAATTCAATATTGGGTACGCAGCCGAGTTAATAGAGGTGCTATTGACGCTAATTCGAATACAACTTTTAAATAATTCAAAAATGTTACTTATCACCTTAATCCACTATCGCAATCAATTAGCTTACTGTTACAGTATAATCAGCAAATATGCCAAGCAGGCGCATAGTATATACCATACCGCATAGCCAACTATTCCAGCATCAATTTAGATTATTGTTAATCCAATTATTTTATTCATATTTATTAAAAAATATATATATATTAGATTTTCTCATCTAGTGGAGGGGTTCAATGGCAGCAAGTTATCTTTTTTTACATCAAGACCGTCTAAAATTAAACACTATAATGCGAAATGAAACTACTTTTTGTTCTTCTGTACAACTTTGAAAATGTTACGATAGTTTACCTATGACGTACGGAGTTCTGTCTGAATAAATAAATTTTTATGGTCCGTAATTACAGAATATCATTTTTTAAAAAATAAATTTTCAGTTATTTTTATTATTCATTTTGCTCGAAAAGTTGATCATTTCAAAGTTGAAACGTTTCTTTTTGTAGTGATGGATTCGAGGTAGGTAGAACTGAAGGAAAACCTCAGAAAGAAACCAGGGTATTACCGTTCCATCTTAAGGATATACCGCAACCAGCAAGACTATATTTGTCTGTCGTAATTCATGTATTCTGTTATTTTAATTTTCTTTCTTTCACTTTTTTTTATCCCTTTCTATCTCAAATCTTCAATTCCTATGTTTCGTATTATCCTACCTTATTCCGTATGATGAAAATATTATTTATTATTATCTTAATTCCTCACAAGGAAGCATTGGTTTCATCGCTTCCCCCCCCTCTCCCACAACCAGTATGGTAAGTCTACGCCTACGATCATGTTCATCAGATTATATTTGTCTCAAAATCGCAGTTTATAGCGGGACTAGCGTTCCCTGCAGGATGCATATCAAAAATATTAACAGGCTCTTTTCGTTAGAACTAAAAGAGTCATTTTAATCCTACGGCACCATTAAATTTATTTTTAGACAACTCTAATTGTAAATATATAATCTAATTGTAACCACACAGACATACAATCTGTATTTATAATTTGTTCTAAAGGAAAAATAGTCCCAGAATAATAAAATATTTTTTTTATATCATTTCATTATAAAAATTATCTGCTTGAAATTATGACAAATTTTTACTCATATGTTTATACTGTAAATCATTTAATCGTCTACTAAATGTTAATAAATACACAATAAATATATAATAGATCTCTCTTAAGTAAATATAAAATGGTCTGTAATTTAGGAGAAAAATACTTGTACATAAAAAAAGCTTATATACTTTACGCTATGAAGTTCACTGGACTTGATAGAGTAAAGTATGTAAAGTACTTAGCCAGTATGAGTCATTTCTTGATACCACCTTACGAAGTAGAGCTGTTGAACTTCATTCTAGGTACATTTATTGTATTTATTTCAATTTTCCCTTAATTTGGTCAGTGATAGTATTATTTAAAACGGGAGGTATAATATAATAGGATTATTTTATTGTTTGTTATCTATTGCTGGCATTTGGTTCTATTTTGATTGTCTACAAACTGAATATGTTGTCATATTCAACAGATCAACATCTTCAGAAAACTTTTCCTGAAGAATATACAGTTACTCTTCCGCATTATGTTTCGAATACCAAAGCGGAGGGGAAGGCAGAGGAGGCTAACTGGTAAATATGGGAGGGAGGACGGGAAGCCGATGTGGGCCATCAGCCAAGGTCGTGTGGGCAAGATCGCTCTTCAAGGCCGGCCGCCTCGGCAAGGGGATTGGAGAGATTCTTCTTGAGCAAAAGAGACCAAAGGATTTAACGAAGAAGTATTGTTACAACTTCTGTCAAGTCAAGAAGGTGGGTAAACATGTTTTAAGAGTTCCAGTAAGGAGTGCCCGTCCCCCTCAAGGTCGATGGCGCAAGAATCTATACCTTCACTACCAAGATATTTTATTGTTCACCTATTCTTAAAAAAGAACAAGTGAAGGTAGAATTAGAAAAATCGTAGATCATATACAATTTCACTTTTTTTTTGGGCTCTCCCCTTGTTCGCTTTAAGGCTATACGGGGTTTTGAGGCGGCTAGGGCTAGGGGATGAGGTCGAGGGATTTAAAAGACTCCCCCGGCACCGTGACTCAAATTCATGACTATTTTTTTCAATTGTTTTATAGATCAGATTGACGGGCAACGGGTATGTTCATGTTTTTCCCTTTAGTCCTTTAGTCCGAAAATTCATAACTCCGTCGAAATTTATCCCCCTCAAAAATTCAAGAACACGTCAAAATATGCCCCTAATAGTGTAAAACTTTTCATTCCGAAAAAAATCCTAACCTCGCCGAAACGTGCCCCCCTCAAAAATTTTGATGACCCCCCTTGTGGGCATCTCCGGTTCCAGTACCGTTTCATTTGGAAGAATTCATTGTAAAATGTCTTGTTGGATTCATTGCATTGAACTTGTTGGTGAGTTGAGATGGTAAAATTTGATGATTTCACTATAACTAAAAATTTTAAAATTCAGGATAACCCGGAATTCATATCTTATTATTGAAAATATAATGGGCATTCTATTGAAAAGTACTAATTTCATTCGACAGATCTTTCATTATGCGATCCACGACCCTATGGCATTCCATCCCTTCCCATACATTCGTCAATCCAATACCCTACCCACTTTTAAATCTCGTCTATTCAATCACTTCCTATACATCTGGTTCCCAAACAATCATAAATAGCTCTTTCTGTAAATATGTACATAAGTTTGTTTATAAGTATTTTTTTATATAATAGTAGAAGTTAATATACATTTTTTAAATATTTCTATTTGTTTATTTTATTATTCTTTTTATAAAACTCTAAGGCTTTAAAGCCAACAATTTGTATTACTATGTACTATTTTAAAGCGACTTGTCCTGGAATAAATAAAGCATATTATTATAAAAAATAAAGTCTTTTTTAGGTCAGATCTACCCAAATCGCTTAAAGGTGAAGGAAAATTTGATAAACATTGTCGTGTTTCAACGATCAATTTTGGACATGATTCCAGCCGAAATTGTTAATTTTACTAGTTTTATATCAAATTCGATATTATTTAGTCCTTGAATTAAAATTCCTTAGGAAGCACCATTTTGAATAATTTATAATAACTGATCGATGACTGAAAAAGTTTTATAGATTTTTAATTGGCCACTATTTTG